TTTTCACCACCCTGAACATCCGCAAATCTAACTACTTCACTGCTTACTCCCAACTCCAAATCATTAATAAACGTTGAAAAGTATCAGACCCAGTGATGATCCCTGCAGTACCCCACTGCTTACCACCCCCACTGAGAAAATTGCCCAATTATACTCACCCTCTGTTTCCTATTAATTAGCCAGTTTTTGATCCACAAAAGGACTTGTCCTTTTATCCCGTGACTATTGAGCTTACTTAGGAGCCAATGATGAGGAACTTTATCAAAAGCTCTCTGGAAGTCAAGGTAAACAACATCTATTGGGTCCCCCTTGTCCACATGTTTGTTCACTCCCTCAAAGAACACTAACAGGTTAGTGAGACAAGATCTTCCCTTACAGAACCCATGCTGAGTCTGCCTCAATAGTTTTTGTTCATCAATGTGCTTACTAATTCTTTCCTTAATAACAGTTTCCACCAACTTACCAGGTATTGACATCAGACTGACTGGCCTGTAATTTCCTGGTTCTCCTCTGGAATCCTTTTTAAAGATGGGAGTGACATTAGCTACCTCGCAGTCCTCAGGAATGGAGGCAGATTTTAATGAAATAAGTGTTATGCCAATAAAGGTTTATGTATGTAATGAAAGATTGCATATTTTTGTCAGGAGATCCACATTTCAGTTCTTTCAGAACTCTCAGATGTGTGCCATCTGGGCCTGGTGATTTATCAGTTTTTAAGTTGTCTATCAGCCGTAGGACCTCCTCTCTAGTCACCTCAATCTGACTCAGGTCTTCCTACACCCGTCCTGAAATCAGCGGTTATGGAGAGGGCAAGCAGTGAAGACGGAGGCAAAAAATGCATTCAGCTGCTCAGCCATTTCCCTATCATCCTTTAGTACTCCTTTTACTCCCTGGTCATCCAAGGGCCCCACTGCCTCCCTGGCTGGTTTCCTGCTTCTAATGTATTTGAAGAAAGGGTTTTTTTGGTGGTGGTGATGTTTTTTTGAAATGTGCTCCTCATATTCCCTTTTTGCCTGCCTGATCACAAACTTGTATTTTATTTGCCACAGCCTCATTGAGACTAGCTTTTCACCACTTAAAGGAATCCTTCTTACCTTTTACAGCTTCCATTACTTTGTTTGTTAACCATGCAGGTCTTTTTATATACCTATTTGTTCCTTTCCAACCTATGGTATATATTTTTTCTGATTGTAGTTTTAAATAGTCTCCAAGCTTCCCCAATGGTTTTGACCCTTTCTACTTTTCCTTTCAGTTTCCTCCTCTCATGTCCCCTCATTTCAGAAGAAGTAGTTACCCCTTTTAAAGTTAAAAGTGGTTCTGTCAGTCTTTATGAGCAATTCCCTATTTATACAAATGTTGAACTCAATAACATTATGGTCTCTGTTCCCAAGCGGTGCAATCACTTTTACATCTCTCACCAGGTCTTGGGCATTACTTAGGACCAAATCCAGGATTGCCTCTCCCCTGGTAGGTTCTGTGACCATCTGCTCCATAGCACAATCATTGAGAGTGTCTAGAAACTCAATCTCTTTTTCCTGACTTGAACACATATTGACCCAATCAGTGTGTGGGTTGTCCTATTACGACACAGTTATTTCATCTAGCTGCTATCTTTAATACATTCATCATTTTATAATCCTCCTCTATCTTTTGATCTGGTGGGCGATAACAAACTCCCAGTGTTAAGCTTCCTTTCGGGCCCACTATTTCAACCCATAGCATTTCCAGAAGCAAATCCAGTTCTCTTACCCTCTCAATCTTACTGGACTGTATACCCTCTCTGACATACAGAGCCACCCCACCTCCAACCCTTCCCCCCCATCCTTCCAATATAATTTATAATCAGGTATCCCATTGATTCTCCTCATCCCACCAAGTTTCTGAAATACCCACAATGTCTATTTTCCCCCCAGCACCAAGCATTCCAACTCCCCGATTTTACCTCAGACACTTCTAGCATTTGTATATAAGCATCTATAATTTTCCAGGCATGTTAGGCTCGCAACCTTCCTCCTGCTGCCTCGAGACCTTGCCAAGCAGTCCATATTGTTTGCCACAGTCTCAGTGGACAATTCTAATCCATTTCCCTGTAGAAAATAACACAGCTACCCCTTCATCTCTTTGATGAGCCATCCTGAATCAGAGACTTTTCATCTCCTCTTGGCTTTCCCCCAATATTCAGTTTAAAAACTGCTCTGCTGCCTTTTTTATTTTAAGCGCCAGCAGCCTGGTTCCTTCTTGGGACAAGTAAAGACCATCTCTTTTGTACAGCTCCCTCTTGTTCCAAAAAGCATCCCAGTGCCTAACAAACTTGAACCCTTCCTTTCTACACCATTGTCTCATTTACGCATTGAGACTCCTGATCTGTGCCTGTCTCTCCGGCCCTGCGTGTGTCTTTAAAAGATACTTAATTTCAATGAGATCACTATCTGTGTAAGAAGCAATGCATGGAGAAGCTTTGTCAACAACAAATACTTTTAATTAGTAGTTGTAGATTTTCCGGGCTGTATGACCATGGTCTTGGCATTGTAGAATTTCAACAGCCAATCCATATGCAAAAGAACCTCCTCAGGAAACCTCCTCCATTAGCATGTCACAGCCTGGGAAACTCCTACAAGGTAATGATTCAGCCCTACCCCACGTTCCCAAGTAGATATAAATTACCTGCCTACCATTTTTCTTCTCACTTTGACACAGAGAGTACTCCATCTTTCTGTGTTATACCTCTGACGATGCCAGTCACAGCTGCTGGTGAAACGTCAGGTACTACAATGCCAAGACCACTGCCATACAGTCAAGAAAATCTACAACAACTAATGAACTCCGACCATGAAAGCCTTCGACAACATATTAAATACTTTTCACTTAATTTAAACTGAAGAGAATCTTCTGTGTCATGTAGAATACATGGCACATGCTATCTGTTTTATGCTACAGATGAATATGCTGGACATCAGTGCTTGGCAGAAGCTTTCATTCTACAGAATATACAGGGGAAAAGGAACACTTTTATGCTGATAATGAGAGGTCACTTTAAGACTACAGACAAGAAGGGAGTTGTGAAAGCAATTTTAATGAACTGTCACAAGCAGAATCCCAACTCAGAAGGAGGCAGAGAATAGAAAAAGAAAAACATAGTAATATTTAAGATTTCGGGTTTTTTCAAACAACAACTGTTTATTGTGCTGTCAACTTTAACTGATTTTTATTAATTGTTATATTTTATAATATGTACGTAACTATAATTTTAAAATGTGTAGATAAGATATGTATATTTATTTTAGCATTCTGCATATTGTGATTAGTGTAATGTAGTAAAATGTTTAGATTAGTCAAGTAACAATTCTGTCCTTGGTCTTAACTATTCCCTGTCTCTTGACAGTGGTTAAAAACAGGTGCAAAAGAAACTTTACAACATGTCAGAGAATGTTTAAATTATTGCTTACATTTTGAGGTTGATTATACTTCAGTGTGGAGCTGCGGTGGCTCAAGTGGTTAAGATGCTGAACTGCAGGCTGTGGAAGGTCGGTAGTTCAGCAGTTCAAGACCCGAGTGCCACACGACGGAGTAAGCTCCCGTCTCTGGTTCCAGCTCCTTCCAGCCTAGCAGTTCAAAAGCAAGAAATTGCAAGTAGATAAATAGGTACTGCTTCAGTGGGAAAGTAACAACGTTCCATGTGCCTTGGTGTCTAGTCATGCCGGCCACATGACCATGGAAATGTCTTTGGACAGTGCTGGCTCTTCGGCTTGGAAATGGAGATGAGCACCACAACCCTAGAGTCGGATTCAACTGGCTTTTGAGCAAGGGAACCTTTACCTTTAGGCACAGAGCTACACAGAGGTAGAGCAAGCTGCAGCTTCCCAAACTACAGGTAGCAATGCACCCTGACAAAAGATTTAACTTAAAATAGCAGTACAGTTCTAGACAGTACTCCAGTCTGAGCCCATTGATTTCAGTGGATTTAGACCTGAGTTACTCTACATACTCCCATCTCTAGTTCCAGCTCCTGCCAACCTAGCAGTTCGAAAGCAAGAAATTGCAAGTAGATAAATAGGTACCACTTCAGTGGGAAGGTAACAGCGTTCCGTGCGCCTTGGTGTTTAGTCATGCCAGCCACATGACCACGGAAATGTCTCCGGACAGCGCTGGCTCTTCGGCTTTGAAACAGAGATGAGCACCGCAACCCTAGAGTCAGATTTGACTGGCTTTCGAGCAAGGGAACCTTTATCTTTACCTTTACTATACTTCAGTGTGTGGTTGCTTCTAAAAATAGCTGTGCTACTTATTCTGCTCCCTCCCTCCAAAATGTCTAATTAATGATGTGATGCCATTCCATTCTTTTTTTCCCTACCAGCCATCATTGACTGACAATGGTGAAGGAACATAAGGATAACAACATGGAATGCTGTGATATCAACATTATGTGATAAATTCTTCAAGGCCTTCTAAAAGGGAGCAGGCTCCATGTTTCTGAACAAAATTGTCAGCATCATTCTACATCTGTAATAATGCTGGATACACTTTTTGTCTCTACAGATAATCTTCCCCTCTCTGATGCCAGCTTCATTCCTCATCTCAAAGAAATTTTGTTATATAGAAACAGATATGTCTCAAATCATTCAGTTCCTTTTCTGTAATTATTTAACCATAAGATGATGCATTCAATGAATGTATCATGTGTATTTCAGGCTATTTTAAAGAATAGAGAAACTCTTCAAGAAGAATTTTTCTTCTTCTTGTTTTTGTTTTAGGAACAGAAATTGTGGTTTGCATAGTCAGGATGCATGTGGCTTACTTGCAGCAGGTAATCCAGATTGCATATTCATAGCACTGAGACTGCATGAGAACTCCACTGTGAGTCCACAAGGCACTTTTGGGATTTTCGGTAAGTGCCTGGTAGTTTCCACATTTAGCCACAGGCCAGCAGTCATGTGAATTGGCCCCAAATACATGTATCTGATCAATGGTTTTCATATTATCATTTTTCTCCTCTTTTACAGAAAATTCTTTGCCAAAAACAAAATTACCAGAAGACAGTGTTATCTCATCATACAATGTAAACACAAGTTATCCAGGGCTTACAACAGGAAATGGACTCTCAGACTCACCAGCAGGGTCAAAGGATCATGGGAATGTACCCATTATTGTACCATTGATTCCACCACCTTTCATAAAGCCACCAGCAGGTAAATTATTATTTTTTAATGTTTCCTTGTAAATGTTCTATTTACAATGCAAATGATTGATTAGATCACTATAGAATGGCAGGAAGACAAAAAGCATTTTTAAAAGTGTTTTTAAACACATTATAAACACACATGATCTAACAAAGCTAAGCACTTATAAGACATATCAGTTTGAATGCGGGAGGTTTATACACACACTTAATTCTTCCATTGAAATTAGTGATACCTAAAATGAAGCTGGACAAAAGCTAACAGAGTTTTGTCAAGAGAACACACTAGTCATAGCGAACACCCTCTTCCAACAACCTAAGAGGTGACTCTACACATGGGCAACACCAAAATCAGATTGATTATGTCATTTGCACTCAAAGATGGAGAAGATATGTCTCAAATCAGTAAAAACAGTCAGTAAAAACAAGACCGGGAGCTGACTGTGACTCAGATCATGAGCTACTCATTGCAAAATTCAGACTTAAACTGAGGAAAGTTGGGAAAACCACTAGGCCATTCAGGTTTGACCTAGATCACATCCCTGATGAATATACAGTGGAGGTGAAGAATAAGTTTGGGACTAGATTTGATAGAGTTCCTGAAGAACTATGGATGGAGGTTCATGACATTGTACAGGAGGCAGTAATCAGCACCATCCCAAAGAAAGAGAAATGCAAGAAAGCAAAGTGGCTATCTGATGAGGCTTTACAAATAGCACAGGAAAAAAGGAATGTGAAAGGCAAAGGTGAAAAGGAAATATTTACCCACCTGAATGCAGTTTTCCAGAGAACAGCAAGGAGAGATAAGGAGGCCTTCCTGAATGAACAGTGCAAAGTAATAGAGAAAAACAATAGAATGGGAAGGACTAGAGATCTCTTCAAGAAAATTGGAGAAATCAAGGGAACGTTCCATGCAAAGCTGGCCATGATAAAGGACAAAAATGGTAGGGACCTAACAGAAGTAGAAGAGATTAGGAAGAGATGGCAAGAATACACAGAAGGACCTCAGTGTCTTTGACAACCACAACAGTGTGATCACTGACCTCGAGCCAGAGATCCTGGAGTGTGAAGTCAAATGGGCCTTAGAAAGCATTACTAACAACAAAGCTAGTGGAAGAACTATTTATATTTTCATGACATTCTTCGTGAGCAGTTCTCTTACTATACATTTCTTGGAGTTGATATGAGGTATGATTCATGAGTACTGGGTGCTGTTTTTTTCATAATCTGTAGCAGTAACTGTTATGGCTGCAGTAAGGTGTTTAATTGCTATGTTATTATTTACTGTTGTACACACTGCAATAATTTGTGAATTTATGTAACAGCCAGCTCAACTGTGTGTCGGTTTGAGTCAGTGGGAGTTTTGTTGAACTCTATTAGATGAGGGCAGAAATAGACTTAATATGGGCTCAACACGCAGTAAGGAATATTGCTGAAGAATGATTAAAAAATTTAAGAACATAATTCTCGGTATAAATGCCAATTCTTCCAGCTGTCCCATGTAACTGAAGTATAATGGATACACAAGGGAGTACCAGAAAAACATCTACTTCTGCTTCATTGACTATGCTAAAGCCTTTGATTGTGTGGATCACAACAAACCGTGGGAAGTCCTTAAAGAGATGGGAGTACTGGACCACCTCACATGTCTCTTGAGAAACCTGTATAAGGGTCAAGAAGCGACAGAACTGAATATGGAACAACTGATTGGTTTAGCATAGGTAAAGGAGTATGATAAGGATGTATATTGTCACCCTGCTTATTTAATTTATATGCAGAGCACATCTTGCGAAATGCCAGCCTGGATGAATCACAAGCCAGAATTAAGATTGCCAGGAAAAACATCAACAACCTCAGATATGCAGATGATACCACTCTAATGGCAGAAAGTGAAGAGGACCTAAAGAGCCTCTTGCTCAGAGTGAAAGAGGAGAGCACAAAAGTTGGCTTGAAACTCAACATCAAAAAACTTAAGATCATGGCTTCCAGCCCCATCACTCCTTGGCAAATAGAAGGGGAAGTCATGGAAGCAGTGACAGACTTCACATTCCTGGGATCCAAGATCACTGCAGATGATGACTGCAGCCATGAAATTAAAAAACTCCTGCTCCTTGGGAGGAAAGCTATGGCAACCTAGACAGCATAATAAAAAGTACGAAGAAGAACGGAAGACACAAGGGCCTGATGTGGTCCATGGGGTTGCAAAGAGTCGGACTCGACTGTGCAGTTGAAGAGCAACAACAAAATTGTTTAATTTTGGCTGGATTTCTTTACCTAGAGTTGCTAGTTTGAGACATTGAGAAAAATTGTGTTCCTTCAAGAGTTTTTACAGAAACTAAAATTCCACTAGGTGTAGCTTTTCTATTCATTATAGCACTCTGACATAAAAGCTACAGCTGGTGAAATGTCTGTTTTGAGGAAAAGTTATTTGGAAAGCTAATGCATAGAATGCTGTAATGCTGTTTGACTTTAGAAACCCAGAATACTGCCTGACAACACACCCAGATTGTATGAGGTCTCAAAGGGAGCCTTTGATTTAGGAAAATAGCAACATATTAAGGTTTTATTGGAACTGTATGAGGAGTTAAAATGCCCTGCATATTCCAGAACATTTGGATTAAGTACATGAATTTATGCATTAACAAACTAACCATTGAAATGACCTGTGGGTGTAAACCCTATTTCCTTCAGTGGGAGTATAATACCATAGCAGTACAATATAACAATAATTGGGTTGGAAGTATTTACATAATTTAATAGAAGTCTGTTTAGTTTAAAACCAAATAGGCATTTTAACAATCCAAGAAATCAAATTAATATGGTATGTCTAGCATGTTGACAAACACAACCTGGGAAATAGTCTTTTGCTTCATACTGAAATGCTTGTGTATTGCCTCAGAGGGACTTTATATGATCAAACATATACCTTGGGGAGACTATTCTGAAACTATTTATATTTTCATGACATTCTTCGTGAGCAGTTCTCTTACTATACATTTCTTGGAGTTGATATGAGGTATGATTCATGAGTACTGGGTGCTGTTTTTTTCATAATCTGTAGCAGTAACTGTTATGGCTGCAGTAAGGTGTTTAATTGCTATGTTATTATTTACTGTTGTACACACTGCAATAATTTGTGAATTTATGTAACAGCCAGCTCAACTGTGTGTCGGTTTGAGTCAGTGGGAGTTTTGTTGAACTCTATTAGATGAGGGCAGAAATAGACTTAATATGGGCTCAACACGCAGTAAGGAATATTGCTGAAGAATGATTAAAAAATTTAAGAACATAATTCTCGGTATAAATGCCAATTCTTCCAGCTGTCCCATGTAACTGAAGTATAATGGATACACAGTGGAATGTAGGAGTCCCTTGACACAGTTTAAGACCATTCTTTCATGCAAAGTACCTCTGATCTACTAACCCATAATACATTACTTGTGATTAAAATCATCCATTGTACCAGAAGACTGGAAAGTAGCATATGTTACACCAATTTTTAAAAAGGGGTCCAGTGAGGAACCAGGAAATTATTGGCCAGTTAGTCTAATGTCGATCCCAGGCAAATTAGTGTAAACTAGAATCGAAGATAGAATTAATAGGCACATAGAGGAACAAAGCCTGCTGAGGGAAAATCAGCTTGGCTTCTACAAAGGGAAGTCCTGTCTCACCAGTCTTTTAGAGTTCTTTGAGAAAGTGAACACATATGCCGATAATACAAGGAATCATTATGTACTTAGACTTTCAAAAGGCTTTTGACAAGGTACCACACCAAAGACTCCTGAGTAAGTTTAGCAATCATAGGATAAGAGGATGGGTCGTCTTGTGAATTAAAAATGATTACGTGATAGCAAGCAAAGAGTAGGAATAGATGGACAATTTTCACAATAGAGGGGAGTAAGCAGTGGCGTCTCACAAGGATCTGTATTGGGGCTGGTGCTATTTAATGTGTTCCTAAATGATCTGGAACTGGGGGTGAGCAGTACAGTGGCCAGGTTGCAGATGACACAAAATTATTCAGGATTGTGAAAACCAAGGCCGACTGTGAAGAGCTCCAGGAGGATCTTCACAGACTGAGTGAGTGGGCAACAATGTAGCAGATGAAGTTCAGTGTAGTTAAGTATAAAGTGATGTATATTGGAACAAAAATCCCATCTTTAAGTATATGCTGATGACTGAGCCTGAGAGGGAAAGATATCCAGTGTCTTGCAGCACTGAAAAAGGCAAACTGTATGCTGTAGATTATTAGGATTATTAGTAAAGGGATTGAAAATAAAAAGCCAATATTATGTTGCCTCTCTATTATAATGCCACCATATAGGTCTATGGTTTCCCTTTAGTTTCACTGTCCTAGTCCCCAAGCAGTAGCCACTCCCTTCCCCACACCAGGGCATTTTCAATTTTGTTTCAAATCAGCAATTGAATGTCATTATATTATTTAAACAGCTTGTGTATCAAGTTCTCTTAATTCCCAGCTTTTGTTCTATAAAAAGTAAGTCTCTGATCCTTTGTTGCAGAGATATACATTTCTCCTTATATCCACAGTGGAAGGGGGTATGGACGTAACTTTTTAAAAATAAAAGCAGGGAGTTCAGAGAACTCGATATTCAGGTTTTTGTAACATAATAATATAACAATATTCAGTTTGCCAATTAAAACCATATAGCTCTCTGGGAATACCAGAAATTGCTGCTATGGGGGCAGGGGCAGGGAACATGGCTGCTGTGAGGGTGGCAGTGGGAAAATCCAAACTTTCCCACTCACATGACAGGGGCATTTTAATTCCTCGGGGGGCACTGGGGCACTGTCTAATTCAATTAAATGTAATTTAATTAACATAGGCACTGGCATTAATTAGCTGACCATTCTTACCACCCTTGGCCGTCACCTTCTCCGAGGGTGGCTCACCGTACTGCCTGCCTTCCCTCTCAGGGGAGCAGGTTGCGGCCATCTCCCTGGCCGACAACAACTCAGAGCAGCGTGTGTCAACCAGGCCTTGCATTGGGAAGG